TTTGGGGTCGTCCGGATGTCTTTTTTGGACTATCGAGCCAAAAATGATCATTTTCATATTTTTTTAATTCGTCTGCAAAATCGTGGCGTGCCGAACGTCCTACTCAGGTGGAATTGGCAATTCAGACACGCTAACGGGGTCCGTTTTGTCATTCGGGGTCGTTTGGTGGCTTTAACCTTAGCTCTGAAAGACTTGTGAACTACTTCTTTATAATACATTCATTAAAAATATGGAAATCACAAAATTACAAAAACACCATACATATAAAAACATTACATATATACTAAACATGTGGCTGAGGACCGTTACCTGTTCACTTGTCAATCAGCTGTTAGGGATTATTAGTTGCCTAACCTTAAGGAGTGTTTTGTTGGTGACTGCTATTCAATATTGGTATATAGACTTTGATGCCTCGGTTGCCTTTAAAATTTTGACAAATGAAAAGTCTATAACTGAGCTTATCCCTAATTTTAGTTCTTATAACCTTTTTGATTTTCCATAAGCATATCATTTAACCCTTTTTTTATGAAAATATGCATGTTTAGATTTTCATATTTAAATTTCAAATATTTGTCTAACCCTTTTTTTTAATATATACACTTGTACTATATAATCGTAATTTGTTTGAAGGATCACCATATATGGCAGGTATGTACTGACTTTCTTCTTTTACTACACTTTATTATACATATTTATTCATACTTGTACTATTACTGCTGCTGCTACTTTTTACTCTGCTACTCTTTACTATTTTTTTATGGCAAGTTTATATAATACCCTAGGGTAACAAACATAGGGCATATGCTTGGGATCGGAACCCTATAACACATAACCAAAATGCAATTAACTTCAACACCTTTTAAAATTCCATAACAAAACATTTTTAAGACTACAAGTAATGTTTTTAAACTTCAATAAACTAATCATAACAGAATAATAAATCACTTTTTTAGATTTACGGGAATCCCTCAGAATAGGTAACCTACGGTTGCTAACGAGAATTCTCCGGTCTAAATGAGTCTAACAACTCGTTTAGACTAAGTAAATCCAAAATTAACAGTGATGTCGGGATGATGGAACCCTGAGATCTTAACCGGTATCGCTTAACATAAAATAAAAATTCCCTCTTTTTTTCTTCAACAACAAGAAAAACCAATTCAAAATACATTGTGCATGAAAACATTAGATATCTGTAATAAGTCGTTTAAGATATGCTCTCTCTTCTCTCTCCTTTTCTCGAAACATGACAACGACACGATCAAGTGATAATTTATCTCCGAGCAGCAGTCGAGACGACAACAGAAATCGGAAGAAAGAGCCTCATCTTAACTTCCATAAACATAAATAACATACATCCATAGGATTTCTAAATTGCTCGTATGGTATGACGTAAATCTTCACATTATCTTTTAGAACTTCGTATGATTGTATATTGTGCAATATAAATACTAAACTATTTAAACCTCCGAGGTCATCATTCGGTACGACATAAATCATCCTATTTTCTCAGACCATTTACATATGACATGTAGACATAAGTCCCAAATATCTAAATAATTTACAGGACTGAAATATTAAATATTTTCCCCTTCAACGATGTAAAGTCAAACCATAGGTTAGTTTGAGATGTCACTAAAGCTTATTTAGTATCTTCGACATTTCCTACCATTCAGTTCTTTAGGTTACGAAAATAACTGTTCCGTATTGAACCATTCCCATTTGAATTTCCTATAGGCAATCGTGGAAACCTAAACATTAAATTCTTGAAGATAAAACCTTGATCTTAATCAAGAGTTTTCTTAGGTGAAATTGGTTGCCTAAGATGTAATTAACTATAAGGGTTTGCCTCTATAGTGAATTAAAAACCCAGATTAATCTAAACCCCGTGTAATCTATGTGTTAGATAGGGGAATTGTCGACTATAAAATTTGCAGAACAAGATAGAGTCATAAACTTTTAAGTTTAAATATTTAAGTCTACTAACAAGTGATATGCTTATCTTTCTAGATGACATGTCATTTGTGATATCGTGCTCATCTTTCTAAACTATTAAATATATGAAATATATTTGGTCTCTATTATTTTATTAAATAAAAAAAAAATATTATTTTTAAAATCAAAATTATGTCAAAAAAACGACCGACATCCCCATAATAATAGCATAGTACATATGACTACAACATTGACTAAAATCAATATTTTGAAAAGGAACTTAACATCCTCAAAGTTCTTGATTTTGACGTCTCTTCTGATATTTCTACGTTACTGTCATCAACCATTTTATCAGTCACTTCATCCATCCATTAGAAATAATTACAATCGTTCTCCTTGCAATTTCTTGAGCAACAACAAATTTCCTTCGATAGCTTCTATTTTTATAAGATGTATGCAATGTATCCAACAAGTTGAATTTACAATAAATAATCTAATTACCAATTTTTTGTAATGTTGATGAATGATTTGAGCATATACTTGATATCTTCCTATTAGAAATGAGAAAAAAAAATAAAAATATGCGATGTGTACAACAACATATATAGGTAAGAAATTGTTAGAGGAATAAGAGGAGAAGGGGGCGGTGAACATCCAACTTTTGTCGGAGGAAGGATAAAAACTAGAGGACAGAGATGGCCTCCGACTATTATCGTAAACCTCCAGCTATTGCTGGAGAAAGAAGACGAGAAGGCAACAAAAAAGAGAGATTAGGGTTATCTGGTTCGGGCTTTGTTCGCTAGAGCCCACCCCATTGTGATGGATAAATAAGAGAATCATAAAACATAAATATATTGTCTATTGCATGTTGTTCAAGTAATGAGTTCAAATGACCGACTTGCCTGTAAAATAGTAAATTGGGCTTAATATTAAACTCTATTTTTGAAGTAACTTTATTTCAAAATTAACTTATTAAAGTGGTGTGTTTAAAAATTTCTTCGGTTAAGAAATGATAATAAATGCAGGATTAATCATATTCTCTAAGTCTCTACTATATATTCTCTCTCCTTCTCAAACATAATCCTGAGTATTTTTATTTTGGTGGTGTCTCTGCTGAATGATTATGGATTCAACCATTACAAAAATGAACTTCTTAGATTTAAAGTAGATCCAACACTTATCAATCTTATATCCTCTAACGACTGATTCTTCTGTTGATAACTTCTTCGCCTTTTTTGCTCATAGTCGAAGCTGCAATCATGGAAGTCAGAGTACACGTGCCATACATCAGGCGCGTGGTCGAAACTGCAATCATAGAACTAAGAGTAACTGTGCTCCACCCCCGCCCCCACTCATACCAAGCAGCCAACCCCACCTTGTAGAATAGTTCATGACAATGCATGCCACCGGAAACCCATGATCACCTCCACCTTTAGAGCTCACAATCAGTAGATATCTCCAATGCTGAGCTTGTCGAATGTGGATAGAGCTGTATAGTAGTTAACCACTCACACAAAATATAAAAAAGAAATTTGGCTTATTTGTGTGATAAGCCAAGCCGAATAGTATTTGAGCTTGCTTGAGCCTTAGTACAATTAACACAAATACATTTTGGACTAAGTTAACAACTAACCTATAAGGAGGTGTGACACTTTTTAAAATTACTTAAAAACTCTCATATGATAACAGTTTGAGCCCGAATATTGTATGATGATCTCGCAAATGAAGTCCAATAATAAAAAAAATAGAGATTTTTCGATTGTGATGGAGATGAATTCCAACTTAATTGCCATTTGATTGCATACAATTTTAATAAAAAGATATTCCTTTTGTAACTTATTTAAAATAAAGTTAAATTGTCTTATTTCATAAATCATATTTTCCTATTAGTTCTTTTAAGTATTTATTCATGGAATACTTGAATTTTGATATTTATTAGTATAACATCTAAATTTTAATCTCCCGTTATTGTTAATATTAAATATTTAAAATAAAATAATATTTTTAAAAATATTTTTTAATGTAGTTGTGGCATTAAAATATTAAAGAAATAAACATCTAAGTTTGATATGCATGTAAATCTCCTACATTAAATGCTATCTCAATCCACTTTTTAACCAATAATTTAAAGACATCTAACCGAACAGCTAATCAAGAGTGAGTTATTATTTTGGCCGTACAACATCATCTTTCAGTAATTATTATTTTAAAATTAAAAGTTCTAATCATAAGAAAATATATTTAACGGGCCAGAAATGATATAGCCGCATAGCGCATGCACAAAAATCCACATGGACCTTAAGTGGTGCCTTTCATTTTAGCACACGCATGTACGCATGTAGTGCTGTCAACTCCTTCATGAGCAACTCGTGTTCGGCTTGTTCGCTAAGTTGACAAGCCGAACACGAACATCACGAACAATATTTATTCGTTCGTGTTCGGCTCATTTTGACTCAAAATACTACTAATCAATTATATATACATATATATTTGATGAGTAGTATTTTGAAAAATTTTAATTGACTACATGACTACAAAGATTTATAATCAATTAAAAGTCAATTAAAAGTATTAAAATTAAAAGTATTAATTAAGAAAGTAAAATAAAAATTATTAAATTAGATTCAAATGATGTTTTAAATTTTATCCTAATCCTTAACATCTTATGACTGCGTGATTAATGTTGTCAAAATGACTCTTTGTTCATGAACGACTCGCGTTGGACTCGCTAAGCAACCTAGCCGAACACGAACACACCTTTTGAGCTCGAAATATAATTGAGCCGAACACGAACAGAGCCTGGTTGGCTCGTGTTCGGCTCGTTTACACCCACACATGCATGCAAATTTTTAATTTTTCACTAATTGTATAAATTTAAATTAAAAAAATCATTTAAGCGACAAAATAAATTTAATTTTTAAGAAATACATTAATTTAAATTAAAAAAAAAATCCTGAAAGCTACAAAATAGGAGTCCTCGTACGTGTGAATGTGCGTGCGGGCGCGTGCGTGTGTTTTATATGTATATATAGATTTTTTTTTTTCTTTTGCATTTTAGCAAATGGAAATAGAATGGCCGTGGTGCTTGATTGGAAGTGAAGTCAAACCAATCCAACAATCTTAACCCTTCTGTTTCTCTCAATAGTTGATATTCGCGGCCGGGAGCATTCTAGAGGTTCTCTGTTGTCTTCTCCAGTCGAACTCGAAACCTAGAAGGTTTGCTTTTTCGATTCTCTCTGTTCTGTCATCATCTTCTTCCACCCACATGCGGTTGCTCATGGTGTAGGCTTTGGATCAAGCCGGCGGCGACTATGGGTGGTGGCCCGTTGATCTCAGTTCACCCTGAGGAGCTTACCTTCGAGGGTAATTTATTCCCATTCCCTTTTCTCTTTTCATGTGCCTTCAGAAAAAAGAGTATATTATATCTTTTGAGGATCTTCATGTTTTAAACTTCTGATTTTAGTCAAACTGGATGAGCCAGCTTATTGCAACCTCAAGGTCGTCAACAACACCGAGCACCATGTAGCCTTTAAGGTCTGATGAAGCTAGAAATTGTCGATTTTCTCTGCAGCAATCGGACTTTTGAAATTTTGCATTACAGCTGATAAGATTTGGGGATTTTGTTCATTGATTAGGTCAAGACCACTGCTCCGAAGAAATATTTCGTGCGGCCGAATGCAAGCGTGGTTCAGCCTTGGGATTCATGTACCATAACTGGTTGTGATTCGCGTACTTCTTATTTTTTTCTATATTCTATTGCCTTATTTGGACTCGCTTTGCTGGTTTTTTTGATTTGTTCTTTTATTTATTTTACTTTTTATGTAAATCTTCCGTTTTTTATTCTGTAGTTACCCTGCAAGCTCAGAAGCAATACCCACCGGACATGCAGTGCATGGATAAGTTTCTTATTCAGAGCACAAAAGTGCCGCCAAGCATTGATATTGATGAGATCCCTCCTGATACTGTGCTGAATCTATAATTTTGTTTAATTTTGGTAATAATTTAATTTTCTGATTGTAATTGTTACGTTCTCTGTGTTTGCGCGCAGTTTACCAAAGATGGGGAGAAGGTGATAGAGGAATTGAAGCTTAGAGTAGTTTATATTTCCGCAAAGTCCCGCCATCCAAATTCTGAGGGGAAGTCAGGGATCAGTTCAGCATCCAGGCATTCTATGATAGGTTCTGATGTAAGATACTCTTTTTCTCCCTTTTTGGGCTTCAGATAATTTATATGGACAATCATTTTTATTTGGGGCATTTACATACATATCACAAAATTTATATATGTTTACATATCTAACACCCAAATATTCATATTTGCATGTTAACATCCCATCAAAATACCATCATTGCTAACTTTTAAAAAGTGAGATACACGTTTTCATAGATAGTTTTATACTAGCAAAGTGTTATAATTGTAAATATGAGATTTTAGGTGTTACATATGTGTTAATATGAAAGAATTGTGTAATGTGTATGTAGATTTCACTTTTTCGTTTCTGCTCTTGACAATTGTAGATTGATAGGTAATAGAGCTTTGAAGAGGTAGATGACACCTCCCTTGTGCTATCACTGGTTTACATATAATTTGTCTTGTAAAATTCTTTCCTGCTTTTTCATGCATAAATGGAAATGCTGTAAGTATGAACCATGGTGTGTAATGAATCAAATTGGATTGAAATTGTGAACTTTTTCGCTTTCTTCTGTGGTGTTTTTTTTTTTTCATTTGCAATAAAAGTCAGTAACTTACTCGTCCTAGAAGGTTTATGTCGGAACTAACTTGTGAATTTATTACTTAAACATTACTTGTGATGATCAGTGGCTTACTTGATCAAAGTCGTTTCACTTTAGTATGTTATACACCCATGAATAGACTGCAAGTTGAGAAATTATGCTGGCGAGTTTGTTGATGTGAAACTTACCCGAGTTTGGCTCTGAATCAACACTGATCGGAGTTTTATTAGTTACTGCTTCATATTTAGAACTTGGATATCCATCTAGAAGTTGACTTTGGCATTAGTTTTCTTCTTAAAGTGTGAAGCTATAACAAAGAATAATAATGTTGTGGTCCAACTTATCTTTGTCCTTGTTTTGTACACGCAAATAATCACAGAATGCCATAAAAAACATTGAATGCTCTCAAAGCAATGTTGCTGCACAGTGCTAGTTGCTCACCTGAAGGCTTTGAAAAAGAATAGTGATTTCACTTTAAGAAGCCTTTCTACACATTCCTGATTTTAAAATCTTAGAGGTTGTAAGATTATTTTTGTTATTTTTTTATTATTTTTTTATTTTTCTTTATTTTGTTTATGTTTTGATTTGAAATAAAATTAGTTTGGTGGTTATGATTGTTTTTAAAACACTTAAAACATCTAAAATTTATATGTAAGTGTTTTTAAAAACAAATTAATTTGTTTAAAAACATATATAAAAAACCATTAAACAAATATATTTTTTGAAAAAAAAAAGTAAAAAATAATAGAAAAAATGATTCCAAACAGGCCCTTAGCTAAATAGATTACCCTCAAAATGTGCTTAAAAGAAATATGTAAATAATTTCAAGTATAGGCAAGAGATAAATTTTTTTCACTATTGTTTTTTTCCAAATTCATCACCATCTATGCTTTCTTCTCTATTGATGGCTTAGTAACTCTATATACTGATAATTTATTATTTAAGGTCTGCCATCTGTTGAAGTTTTTGCACCTATATTTGATTTAACATTATTTTTCTAGTGTTTGCTCTTGCTTGAACAACTCTTGATGTTCATTTCACAACACCCAATGTCAAATTATCATCATAAAACCTTGCTCATCTTCCAAATTCTAAGTTTATAATAGCATTCATGTCGCCAATCATCACTAATGGTTCTCATTAAAGTTCCAAGACCCATGGGCGGACCTACCCCCCCCCCGGCCCGGTGGGGGGCCCCCCCCCCCCCCCCCCCACCTTCAAATTTGGATTTCTATTAGATGGGAGTATATTTTTAATTTTTTGCCACTTCTCCAGCTATGTGATTTACTTCTGCTTTCTTTGTTAAAAGTATATACTTAAATGGTGCAGTTTTAGCTGGGTTTCTTTTCTTAATTACATCGGGAAAGGGTTAAACTGTGACTCGCTTTAATATTTTGCATTGTCTGGCAGGAAGAGTGGGCCCCACATCAGTAATTCTGCCTATTAGTATTGAATAAGTTGGAGACGTGCACGTTCCCTCGCACTCAATCTTAAATTTCCCTTTTCTTTCCTTTTTTTTTTTTTTGCAAAAATAGCTGATGAGAGAAAAACTAGCATTTCATATAATTTTTCAATAAATAATCAAATCAATTTGATATAAATAAAAATATGCTCAAATTTGTAGCATATTAATTAAAAACAAAGTAAAGAATATCTTAGAATATCTTAATGTTAGGTTCAAATGCTGATTTACCCAAAAATAAAGTCTGTAAAAAAATTATATGAAAAATAAAATCATTAAAATAATATCTACACTCTTAATTTGCCGCACCTGAAAATGATGTTGGTTCCGCCCCCTGGCAAGACCTCATCATACCACTCATTCCACCAAAGCAAGTGCCCGGCCTTTAACAACATTGCACTAGCTTACTTATTGACACGTATATATATTCCCTAGATCTCTAATAGATTGATCAAGAACTTCTAAAATCTATAGTTTCATCTTATCTTGGCCATTTATCTATCTTTTATCATTAAACATTGATTCTTCTTCAGGTTCTGATAAAAATAAACCTCAGAAGTGTTAATCTATTTATTAAATGATCATTATACCATTTTGTTAGTGCAATTGATTCTTTCTTCAGGTTCTGTTAAAATTAAACATTGATTCTTCTTCAGGACCTGTGCACCCTGTGAAAATTGTTCTCTTTTTACGCATTGTATCCACTGCTATACATTTCAAGTGATCCTAATCCAGCATTGCTTTTGCAGATTCAGGCAGTGCAGCGTTTGAGAGAGGAAAGGGATGCTACTCTTCAGCAAAATAAGCATTTGCAACGAGAATTGGTATTCTTCTTTACATCTTAGTTTTCTCTTCAAATGCCTTTGGATTTGAGAGCTTGACCTTGAGACTTCTCCCTGTATGTTTTAATGTGGAATTTTACATTTTGTCAAAATGTGTAGCTTAGGGGCCTCTTTGGGATCACTTTTGATTTTTTTTGTATTTTGTTTTTTTTTAAGTTTTTTTGTTTTGTTTGTGTTTTAATTTAAAACAAAACATGTTTTGTATATAAATGTTTTGAGTATTTTTAAAGCAAGTTATTTTTCTTTTTTCGAAAAAATGAAGAATAAAATCATATAAAATATGCACTAAATAAATATATTTTTGAAATAAAAGCAAGAACAAAAACAAAAGTGATCCCAAAGCAGTCCTTGGATTTGTTTCTAATAGAACAATCATTAAAATTTTGACTTTTCATTCTCTAAAGAACAAAAAACACCTAAAAATCTGGTAGTCATAATAGTTTTCAAAATGTTTTTAAAAATAAAGTCTTAGGCACAACACTTTTATTTGATTCTTATGATAAACAATTTTCAAATAAACTTTCTTAATCTTTGTTTTATGCTATGCTACATTAAAGTCTTAGAATGCTTTCCATGTATTAATTTGATGTCAAAATTACCCCTTGAATTGCTTCACAATAACAAGGAGAGATTTCTTCCGTTTTCTATAATTTTTCTATGACGAGTTGTCTATTTCAGGAATTGCTAAGGAGAACTAAAAGCAGCAAAAGTAATGCAGGCTTTTCACTAACTTTCGCCGCGTTCGCCGGGCTTGTTGGACTATTGGTTGGCATGATGCTAAGCATTGCGCTTTCTTCCTCATCTACTGAGTAACCCATTTGGGTTGGCTGTGCTGCACTATTTTCGTCTTATTTCATATTTATAGATCTTCAAAGTGTTTTATTGGTGCTTTGTTTCTTCTATTTTAACATTATTTCATTCCTTTTATCCGTTCTTGTGGTAGAAAGATGTGTTTAGAAATTCGAACGTTTGGAAATGGGTGTTAAGAACTGGCTGGCATGCAGTCTGAATACCCCTACTTTTCCCTCTTGGTGTTTGTGGGATTCACTGTAATCTTATTTCACTTGTAATTTTTTGCTCGGATTGAGCTGTGAGAGGTGAAAAGCTTGCGATTTCATGGCTTTTTATTTCCTTGAATTCTTATATATTTACACATACTTCTCCCAAAATTTGATTTTTACACTCATAGCGCTTTCTCATAAATCTGTGTTAAAAAGGTGTATTTCACTTTTAGAAAGCTAATAATTATGGCGTTTTTGATGTGGTGTTAAATATTTGAGTAGTATTCATGTTAATATGAATTTTTATATGTTAGATATATAAATACATTTGAATTATGTGGTATGTAAATGCCACCTTTTTTACCTTTTGTTTTTGCTTTATTTATTTATTAAGGATATTCTTGTAGACATTTGTAATTTATTATGTTTATATTTGAGTAGTGTTTGAAGAAGGTTCGTGTGTACAAACTTATATTTGTATTTAATGAATATACATACATATATATATATATATATATACATATGGGTTATGACCCTATGACTCGGACTGAAGACTTGTAATATAGATTGCCTAATAATTTATGGACTTAGTTTATCTTTTGCAAATGCTTTGCTGCGAATACAAATCTCAGTTAGAATCACAATATTCTTTCAATTATGTGAATTTCTTCACGTGGTGTAAGGTAGGGTCATGACTTGAATACCGTTAAGTTGTTATGAATACGTTTGCCTTTATGCTAATGGTCTGGTCTATATAAATTTTTGTAGTTATTTATGTGATCACGATTATCTATTTTTATATCTAACAATTAAGGTTTGGTATTTATATTTATGAGGTATTTAAATACATACCACCCAATTTTTATGTATATACAAATCTAATACCAAATTTATGCTTTTTTGCTTTTATACAACCTAAAACTTTTTCTGATAAATCAAAATTACCATCATTTTACCTTATAAAATGTGAAGTAACACTTTTTCAAGCAAGGGAATGTTGTATGTATTTAAAAATTACAGTTTAGGTGTTAATGTAAATGCATAACAATTGAATGCTATATAAATCTTTCTTATATTTATAGTACTCTAGTTTTTAAAATTATTTTCAGAAATATTTATTTTATTTTTTTAAAATTATTAATAGTGGATATTTTTATGTGATGTTAAAAAATTGAGTGTTAGATGTTATATATTTAAGTGTTTGACATGTAGAAAAAAAAATTAGGAGGTATTTTGAAAATAGCTCGAGGTAAAAGATATTGAATCCTTGCCCTCATGTAAGGTAGGGAAATTTATTACATTCCGCGGTGAACAAGCACCCTCATTCATCCATTTTTCAAATTTTGCTTAAATATAAAAAATTAGTGATAAAATCTTGAGTCATGTTTTTTAACTTCATCATGTTTTTAACGATCTATTCTTGGCACATGAAAATATTTGATAGTTTAAGAAATCATCAGTGTTGATTTGTTTATGGTCTTTTTGGATAAACTATAACTTATTGATAAGTTGTTGATAAACAGCTGCCCTTGAAGATAAGCTGGCTGGTAGATTGATTTGTGTTGTTAGAAAATAACTGTTTTGCATCTGTTTCCAGACAAACGACAATTCTGCCTGTGTAGTCATGTTTTTTGCAATAGAATTGTCATAGTAATATATTTGATACTTGGAAAGCAAAAATCCACTTCAGAACAATAACAAGATTACAGCTCACTTAATAGTGAATATCATTATTATTAAAATAAGGAAAGAGAATATTAAAATAATATTTAATAATATGATAAAATTAATTTTAATGTGGAAACTACGTATGTCAGTAGCTAGATCATCCTCCAGGAATACTCTACACGCCTGATCACTCTTGACGGTTGATTCTTCGAGCCTATCAGCTGATACACCAAAATAATATGTATTTTTAAGTATACATTTTATGCTTATTTTTTGTGATATTACATTTTAAAGAAAAGTATTTTCATGTTTTTGTTGCAGGTATATCAATTTTAGGTATTTGAAGCAAAAGTAGCAAAAATGACGAAATTTGGAGCCAAAACAACGAATTTTTGAATTCTGGCGCAAGATGCGCCGGATTGGCGCATGCACATGATGCTCTAGATTGGCGCCAGATGTGCTAGATTGACGCTAGATGCGCCAAAACCCAGAACAACGTGATCTTGAGCAAACTGACGTATGGTACGCCATATTGGCGTCATATGCGCCGTTTGACAGAGAGTTGGTGTATCATGCGTTAGGGAGAACTTTTTGCGGATTAAGGCAGTTTGAGACGAATTTTGCGTGAATTTTCAAAGGGACACTTGTTCTAAACACCCCTTGGGGTAATTCAATGCATCTAGACACTTTGGAAGGTTCTTTTATGAAGGGTTGTGTCCTTGGATCAATGAACATGTCTTTTGAATTCAACAGAGTTGACTTTTGGACAGAATTTTGAAGAGAATTTTGAATTATTTTTGGAGGGAGGCAGCCTTTGATAAAAGAGGCGGAAGTTTAGGGCTTGAAGGGGAGTGTGTGAGGAGAGTTTTGGGTGTGAGTTTTTTGTTGGTGTGGCATGAAGGGGAGTGTGTGAGGAGAGTTTTGGGCATGAGCTTTTAGTTGGTGTGGTGTGAAGGGGCGACAAGGAGAGTTAGAGAGAGAGACAGTCAAGGGTTTGGAGATTTTGTTCAAGGATTGTATGGGGAGAGGGAATGTGAGAGAATTCTTCTTCATTACACTTCTAAGGCTCTCTTTGACGCAATTCCAACTTCTCAGCTTTCAGCTGCAGCAGTGCGTTGCTCCAAGTAGCTGCTGCGAGGAAGTTGACTGTCTGTTTGGTGTAGCTGTGTGAAACCAGTTGTCGGACAGCTGTGTATGGAAAAAAAACCATACTGCCCTTGTTTGGTAAAACTGTTTAAAAGAATAGTATAACAATCATATTTTTGGAACTTCAGTAAGCCCCCAAAGTGCTAACAACTTATGTATAGGAATAAGAACAAATATGGAACACAATTTTATGTATTACATATCTAACACATAAATTTTGAAGTTTAACAAATATTTGAACATTATTTTGGAGGTCTTACGAAAGAATTGGGTCGCCGAAATGTAATGAGATTAATTATGGTATATATATATATATATATATCAATTATTATATAGAATATTTTATGTATTAAATAGTGTTGTAATAAATACAAATTGAAGAAATTTTCTAAAATTATATTTTAGTCTACAAATTTGATATTTTAAAAACACCAAACCGTACATAAATACAAATTAGATGTAATAACATTTTACAACGCAGAAGGTCTAATTAGAAGAGTAGCTAAGTACAGATGCTCATCTCACGTCACAGCGAGTATCATAAGAGGGAAAAAAAAAACCCCAAAAACAATTATAATGATAATCAACAAGATGATTACTTTGTTCTTAACATTCACATGGTGTAGCTTCCATGTTAGACTTTTCTCAAGTGATGTTCTCCATTCCCAATCAACGTCATCAGGTTAATCCACCGAACCGTCTGCCCAACGGAATAAGTGACACTGCTCGGCGATGCTTTGTGGGCAGCTGTAGAACTTTCACTTGTAGTTGTGTGGCCGACGTGACGTTAGCATGGATGTTTGGAGGCCACAGTGGCAGAGAATGCAGCGGGATGTCCCGAAAATCCTTGAGCTCATGTTCTCCTGAATGCAACAGATAAGTAAACAATAGACAAGTATTGTAAATATAAAATAGAATAGTAAACAACAGTCAAATATTATATTAAAAATATGATTTTATTTCAGAAATTTCAAAAAAAAGATAAAAGTAACGATTACATTAACTAAACCAAAAAAGAGGAGATTGAACACAATTGTTATGTATTTACATATCTTCAAATGAAGAACCTGAAGTAATGATAGGCACCTCCAACGATGGAAACACATAAACCTTGTCATTCATTTTGTAGAGCTTACACCCTTGTCTCAAAATATGGACAACCCCTGCAACCCAGGTATGCCCCAATGGAAGGAGCTACACAAAACCCAGGTAGAGCAAATTTTAGAATACTCCCCCACCCTTGCAATCATAGACTTCCTCAATGCTAGAAGTTGCAACAAGATCAACCCCATCTGCATCATCCAAACCCCAGTCCCATCTTGAATAAGCAAGAAAAACCTCCAGAACTCCTCTATTAGAAAAATTATCACACTACCTCTTTGAATTCCCAAGCATGCAATAATATCTAACACCTGAAATTTGATATTTACAGTTATAAAACTTTAGAGTCACAATGACATCATACCATATGAAAGTAAAAAGAGTAAGATAGTTTAGAAAAGTTAAAATTTGTCCTATTTTTTACATGATGTCAAGGATTTAAGTGCTATATAAGTAAATATCAAATTTTCTGCACCAGAGATTCCAACTATGCTTCAAATGCTTAACCCGGGCTCATTTGAGCTCAGATAGGATCATTTTTGGTGTTGTTACGTTAAATCCATTGAATACCAACATTTATTAAGTGGGATTAAAGGAAAGCTAGATGAGAAACAAGACTTTAGCTTATTTTGCATGTTCACAGGAGGTCAAATCCTGCTTGAATGCTTCACAGCTTAAGACCTCCTTTGGATGCATCAAGTTGAATCCTGTTCTGAAGCAGGTTAGATTTCATTGAAGGGAATCTCTGAAACTAAATGGTAGAACCATTCAAGCAGAACGGTAGACTGCTTGAATGCTTCACAAATCAAGATGAATGCTTTGACAATATTTAACTGAATAAAGATCTTCTGGATGGATTCATCAGCATCACATAAATCCAAAGAGAAATTCTTGAAAATCATCAATATAAAAATTTGGACAAATAAATCAATATAAAATGCAAAGGAAGAATTATGCATCCAGGAACAACAATAAAGAGTATAAGACTTCCTCCACCGCCTCGTTACTTCCATGGAAGTAGCCATTCACAATATCTTAAAGGCCTGCCTTCCATTACTATTAGATCACGTCTTCCTGCCGCAACCCAACCGCTGGGATCACAGCGTAGAAGGCTCTATTCCGCTGCTTTCTCCTCACAACAAAGCCGCATTACTGTTTCCCCCTGCGCTCGAACATAATAGAAAGGCTCAAACAAACGATGCATCTGTCATGAATAACATC